GTACTGGGGTTTGAACACTTTTTCTTATTGTTTTTGCTCAAGGCTAATACTCTACTACTTAAGCCACAGCTCTCCTTCTGGCTTTTTGGTGGTTAATTGGAGATGAGTCTTCTGAACTTTCCTTCCTAAACTGGATTTGAATCACAATCCTCAGATCTCAGCCTCCTAAGTAGTAGGATTACAGGCATGAGCCACTTGTGCCTGGCTTCTAAGTACTAATAACCCATGCATTATCACTAGAAGTCAATGTGCATTTCAAATCTAGTCTTCTAGGGAAAACACGTTTATTTTATTTTATTATCTTTAAGTAGTTGTACAAAGAGGATTTAATTCATCATGTTAGTTTATGAGTACAATGTATCTTGATCAATATTATTCATGTTTGGGCTGGGAAGGTGGCTCAGTGGTAGAGCGCTTGCCTTGCATGCCTGAGGCCCTGGGTTCGATTCCTCAGCACCACATAAGCAAAAAGAAAAAAGCCGGAAGTGGCACTGTGGCTCAAGTGGTAGAGTGCTAGCCTTGAGCTGAAGAGCTGAGGGACAGCGCCCAGGCCCAGAGTTCAGACCCCATGACCGGAAATAAAAAAAAATATTATTCATGTTTTTACATGAAAGAGAAATTAGAATGATACTCCTGTCATTATACCCTGGCAAGTATTTTGGTAGCCACTACTTAAAACCAGGAGTCAGAGAAACTCAAGTCCTTGACTTGGCCAAGAAATGAAGAGGACTCCCTCCCTCCCAGAGATAAGCTGAGGAGGTGGGAGAGAAGCCTTTGGGAATCAAGGCCAAGGTAACACTGCAGTTTGCTGGAGCTCCCAAAGCCTTAGACCCAGTGACCTAGTTCATTGGGGTGGCGGGGGAGGCATGCATAGCAAAGTACAACTGGCGGAGTCCTATAAATGCAAAACACTTCTTGTCTACGTGTTTATATTTGAGATCTGCTTGTACTTTAACCAGATCTTCAGATTAACAGCACAGGTTGCTCTGTCAGAAAGCATGGCTGCACTCTGATGGTGAAATGGGCACTTGTTTTAGGACTTGGCCCTGGACTTGCTCCCAGGGAACTAGGTAGGGAGTCTAGCTCAGCTGACAACAGAAGTCCAGCCAGAAGGGCAGAGGACAGTGTTCTCAGGTAAGGCAACCAGTGTTGAGGAGTCCTCTTTCTTGATAGTGGCCACACTTACTCAGAAGCCTGGGTTTCAGGAGCTGCCTGTCAATCCCCAAGGACAGGACAGGAAAATGCAAGTCAAAGCTTATGTACCAGATTCCACACCCAGTATAGATAGATGGCTTGGAACTGTACTGGGTAGTGTTTGCTGTCTTGATATAAATAACATCCCCTTTTGTTTTAAACAAGGAAGGCTCTGCTTAGGCCAATAGATTTCATGGTATTATTGGCACAGAATGCTTGGAAAGATACCAGGTGAACAACTTTTGCAACACAAAGGTAAAGACCAGCTTCATAAACTAGAGCTAGAAGAGGATCAAGGCGAAACTATGGGCCAGAACTCTGGGTAGGATAAATATGCTACTTGCAGTTATTATGAATCTCAAAGATACTAGTCATATTTGATGAATAACCAATAGTAATAAAGGTATATATCTTTACTCATAATGACCCCTGAAACCTCCAAAATACAAAAGTTATATAAATTCATTCCTCTTCTTCTCTTCTTCCTCCTCCTGTGTAGTACTGAAGTTTGAACTCAGAGCCTTGTGTTTGCTGAACTCCAGCACTAATCTTTTTTCTTTTAATTTTAATTTTTTTTGCCAGTCCTGGGGCTTGAACTCAGGGCCTGGGCACTGTCCCTGAGTTTCTTTTGCTCAAGGATAGCACACTTGAAACACAGCAACATTTCTGGCTTTTTCTGTTTATGTGGTCCTGAGGAATCAAACCCAGGACTTCATGCATGCTAGGCAAGCACTCTACCACTAAGCCATATTCCCAGTCCCATTGTAAGTGTTAAGTAAGTAGTGATCATTCTCAGATAGAAGGTTGAGAATAGAAAAAAACCAGATAATCTAGGTATGGAGCAATACGCCTTTTAACACTTGGGAATTAGGATTGTGAGTTTAAGGCTAGCCAGGGCTACATGGCAAGACCATGCCTCAAAAGTAAAAGATTAAGAGATGGGTGCCAGTGGCTCATGCCTGTAATCCTCGCTATTCAGGAGGCTAAGATCTAAGGATCATGGTTCAAAGCCAGCCCAGGCAGGAAAGTCCATGAGACTCTTATCTCCAATTAACCACCAGAAAACCAGAAGTGGCATTGTGGCTCAAGTGGTAGAGTGCTAGCCTTGAACTAAAGAGCTCAGGGACAGTGCCCAGGCCTAGAGTGCAAGCCCCATGACCAACAAGACAAAGAAGAAGAATGATGAGGAGAGGAGGAGGAGGAGGAGGAGGAGGAGGAGGAGGAGGAGGAAGAGGGATAACTTATGAAAGAAGTAGAACTTTAGGTCTTAAAGAACTTTTTGCTTCTTTTATGCCTGTATTGGGGCTTGAACTCAGGGCCTAGACATTGTCCCCTAACTTTTTTTTTTTTTACCCAAGCATGTACTCATCACTTGAATGATAAAAAAGTTCCACTTCTGGCTTTTTGTTGGAGATAAAAGAATCATGAGGGCTGGAAAGGTGGCTCAGTGGTAGAGCACTCGCCTTGCATGCATGAGGCCCTGGGTTCAATTCCCCAGCACCATATAAGCAAAAAGAAAAAAAAAGCCAGAAGTAGCACTGTGGCTCAAGTGGTAGAGTGCTAACCTTGAGCTGAAGAGCTGAGGGACAGCACCCAGGCCCAGAGTTCAGGCCCCATGACCGGACCCCCCCCCCCAAAAAAAAAAAAAAGTCTCATGACCTTTACTGTCTGGGATGGCTTTAAACTATGATCCTCTGATCTCAGCCTCCTGAGTAATTAAAATTACAGGCATGAGCCACAGGTGCCTGCCACATATGGATTCTTATTTTACAGAAAGACCTTGTGAAGTAGGTACTTTTATCCATAGTCTACAAAGAAGGAAACTGGGGCTAAGGGACCTGTGTCATATATTACTTGGCCAGTAAAAAGTGGTGAGGGTTCAGAGCCATAGATACATTCCTTCCAAGTGTCTCTGTGTGTGTGTGTGTGTGTCTCTCTCTTTTTCTAAGAGGGAAAATGAGGCCACAAAAAACAATGAGAGCCCTCTAACCAGATTGTACAATGTGATCCAGTTCAAGGAGATGTGACAATAGAAGATATGTTTGGAGGCGCCACACAGCCTTGTTTACCAGGAGTATGGGTTCGGGGAAAGTGAAAAGTGACATTGCTCTAAGGAAGGAGAAAGTTAGTGAAAGGCCTGAAATTTAAGAACAAAGAGCAGTGGGCAACTATTAATTTGGCCTCATTCTTTTGTGCCTGGATCTCAGAAAACAGCATGAGCCTCTGAGTCCAGGGTTGTGCTCTCTCAGGTTGCAAGGTCAAGATATTTGAGTCTAAAGGAAAAGAGGGAAAAGAAAGAGCCTAAAGCAGAAAGCATAGATAAACTGCAACCAGGAAACCAAACCTGAGGTGCTAGGGTAGTGCAGAGCAAATATCAAGAACTTTTAGAGTTGTCTGAGTTTAAATCTTAGCTTTTCTACCTACTTAGCACGTGGCCTTGACCCAGTCACTTATCTCTCAGATAGTTTCCTTACTTGGGAAATATGACGCCTTTATGGTGGATTTTGTTGTTGACTTGTCCAAATCCTTTCCACCTTAGGGGATCCATCTAAGCAAATCATGAAAAATCCCATTTTCTCAGCTAACGAGTGGTCTGGGGATGGCTAATGAAATATACAGAAGGTGCTATGGAATGAATTGTGCTTATCCCAACTCATGAGTTAAAACCCTGCATGTGGTAGTATTTGCCGAAGGGATCTTCTGAAGCTGATAGGTTTGGGTGAAATCATGAAGGAGGGGGCCTCATAATGGTATCAGTACCCTTCTAAGAAAAGATACTGAAAACTTCTCTCAAAACTGGAAGAAAGCAAAAGAAGGGGTGACATTGCCTAAAAAGAAATGTACACATTACCTGATTTATGAAATGGTAACCCTTCTGTACATCATCTTTACAGTAACAATAGAAAACATTTAAACCTAAATTTCTCTCTTCTCTTTCTCTCTCCCTCCCTTCTTTCATCACCCCCTCTCCCATATGAGGATATAGTAGAAGATGGCCTTTTGTATGCACAGATGAAAGACTTGTAGACTCTGGAACTGTGAGAAAATAAGTCTGCCAGACATGGAGATTAGACTTCTGTTCCTAGTGCTTTGGAGCCTGAGGCAGGGGCCAGGTTGGGCTACTTACCTCATTCCAGGCCAGTTTGGGCTGTGATAACCTGTCTCCAGGAAACAAAAGAGATTAGAGGGTTTAAGGAGGAGTAACCTAGAAGATAAATTTGATCAGAGTCCATGATATGAACGTATGTAAATATAGTAATAAAAACCTTTTATGCAGTCTATGTCTGCTAATAAAAATATTAAGGAAGAAACATGAATACATTTTCATTAAAATAAACTACTGTTTGCTGTTTAAACAACAGGTCTAGAATCTAGGTTCTGGTGCTTGAGATGAATAAAGTGAAGAGCTTCATCTGGGAAAGCTTTTCCTTTCTCTATTAGAGGAGAATTGTAAGATGTTTGTTGTTATTTTCTCAGTCATACATTTTAAAAAAATGCAAGTAACTTCAACCGTCACAAGCAGTGCTCACACCATCACTGAAGTCACAGAATTAAAGAGAATCAAGCACTAAAAATGTGGCTGAAGTAGTAGAATACTTGCCTACTAAGTGCATGATCTGAGTTCAAACTCTAGTGTTTCAGGTAAAATAAAATAATAAAAATAAGACAAAGAGAGTTGCAAAGAAATGGAAAGGAAACCCTGATCAAACTATGCCTGAAGTCAATGGTATACTATTTATTGTACCTGCTGTTATATGAATCAGTACAATTTCCTATTCTTTAAGCAAAGCTGTTTTTGGTTTTCACATCAGAAGGTTAATGAACTGACTTCATAATGAGATGTGAGGGAGTCATATATATGACACAATGTGTGAATACCCAATCATTAAACTCATGAACCGGGCTGGGAAGATGGCTCAGTGGTAAAGCGCTTGCCTTGCATGCCTGAGGCCCTGGGTACGATTCCTCAGTACCACATAAACCAAAATGAAAAAAGCCGGAAGTGGCGCTGTGGCTCAAGTGGTAGAGTGCTGGCCTTGAGCTGAAGAGCTGAGGGACAGCACCCAGGACTAGTGTTCAGGCCCCACGACCGGACGCAAAAAAAAAACAAAAAAACTCATGAACCAAGAGGATCTTCTTTAAGTAAGCTTGAATCAGGTTTCTGTTATTTGAAGATTATAGCAAGCTAGCGTTATTTCATAATAACGCTAAGATTAAAAACTTAAATAATTGAATATCTTTGTCCAGTGCATGACATATATAAATGATAACTATTATTATTTTAGGCCAGTGGCAAATTTGTCAGGCACTCCTTGTAGTGACCCTGACTGGGAATCTATTAGGAATCTTCAGCTGAACTTGGTAGCAGGCACTATTATTTTTTTTTATTTTTTTGGTCCGGTCATGGGGCCTGAACTCTGGGTCTGGGCACTGTCCCTCAGCTCTTCAGCTCAAGGCTAGCGCTCTACCACTTGAGCCACAGCACCACTTCCGGCTTTTTTCTTTTTGCTTATGTGGTGCTGAGGAATCGAACCCAGGGCCTCAGGCATGCAAGGCGAGTGCTCTACCACTGAGCCACCTTCCCAGCCCCAGCAGGCACTTTTAGTAGCAGCTCCTCAGAAGGCTGAAGCAGAAGGATCATTTGAGCTCTGAAGATTCAGCCTACTCAGCATAGCAAAGTACATCAAAGAAAAGAAAAGAGCTGGAAGCATGTCTCATGCCTATAAATCCTAGCTATACAAGGGGCTAAGATCTGAAAGGATGGAGATTCAAAGCCAGCCCAGGCAGAAAAGTCTGGTAACACTCATATCTCCAATTAAGCACTGAAAATTCAAGCTAGAAATGGAGCTGTGGCTCAAAAAATGGAGCAAAAAAGTTTATGAACAGTGCTTAGGCCCTGGGTTCAAGCCCAGGACCAACACACACACACATACACACACACACACATACACACACACACACACACACACACACACACACACACACACACACAGAAGGGAGGGAAGGGAGGGAAGGAGGGAGGGTGGGAGGGAGGGAGGAAAGAAAAGAAGTTCTGATTAGTAAAGGAAAATCAGTCTCTGAAAAAGAAAGAAGACTGAAATATAAGTAGAGAACTTGCCTGGGATTTGGCCCTGGAAAACCAGAATTTAGATTATGGTAGACAGGGAAGAAGCCAGCAGAAGAAACAGCAGAACTGACCTAGGTGTTAACAACCATAGTCTCCTTCCTTATTTCTAGTTTTCATCTAGGGACTTTCCTATCCTCCTAGTAAATCAAACAGCTCGCTCAGTTTTAGAAACATTCTTCAGTTCTTCTCTTGCTCTCAGTAAAATTCCTTTTAAAGCCGGGCACTGGTGGCTCATGCCTGTAATCCTAGCTACTCAGGAGGTTGAGATCTGAGGACGACAGTTCAAAGCCAGACCAGGCAAGAAAGTCCATTAGATTTTTATCTTCAATCAACCACCAGAAAACTCCTGTGATAGAGTAATAGCCTTGAGCTGTAGAGCTCAGGGACAGTGCTCAGGCCCAGAGCTCAAGCCCCACAACCAAAAAAAGCAAAGTTCCTTTTATATAAGTTCTACTTCTATTCAAATGGTATCACTATTTAAACAGGCGAGTACTAAAATTAAACTGGCTTATTTAGATCTTATCCAGTTGTACAGTTTACATATTAAAAATGGCTTAATTGAACATTTAATTGAACATTTCAAGCAAGATATCTGGAACTTCATCACTTCTTTGTCAGTGGAAGCAATAAAATCAGAAGAAAAAATATGTAGTCATGTCCATGCTAGCAAACAACCATACAATTTTCATATTTCAAAAACTTTTCTTTCACTAAACACAGAGAAAATTCAGAGACCTAAAATATCCTGTGTTTACTTATTTGTGTTTTTCAAAATGATTTACCTAGTACTGTCCATGAAATCAGAAGATGATTTGGAGTAACTTCATCCAGAAAGTACTTCTGCTGTCTCTGGCTGGACAAGGAATTATGGGGAACATCTTTGTTCTTGTGAGAACTGTATATATTTTTTCCATGGGCCCTGAGAAAAAAACCCTCAGACATAGTCCTTATTCACTTGGTTTCCTCAAATACATTACTTATTTGTAGCAGAAAGATCACAGATATAGCCACAGACCTTAATTACCTAAATTTTCTAGGTGATGTGGGTTGTAAAATTGTAGTTTATCTGGGAAGAGTGGCTCAAGGGCTTTCCATCTGCACCACCTGTCTCCTCAGTATGGTCCAGGCCACCACCATCAGTCCCAGAACCACCCTGTGGGAAAAACTCAAACCAAAGGCTGCATGGCAAGTTCTTCCCTATAAAAAAAAAAAAAAAAAAAAAGATATCTGGAACTTGTTCTAAAATCACATTATTTACTAGATGGCAAGCAATTTCTAAACAAAACTAAGGTAGCCAGGAAGATAGTTGCTCTAGGCCACAGGACAGCTCTTCCTTGAATTGTTGTAGCTGGTAATCATTAGCTAGTATGCATGGTATGATTGTTGATGTTTTCTATTTTTGGCAAGTTGTTCTTCTCAAGTCTGAAAACTATTCAGTCCTTGAATGTTTATGAAATCATTTCCTTGTTCCTAAGAAATATGTAAAACAGATTAAATGAACAATTATGATCCTAAAACAAAACATTAGAAAATCTGCAACATTTAAGGATGTTTCTGGCAGCATCATTTATGTTAGCAAAACAGAAAATAACCAAATGGTCAATGACAGGGAATTAGTTAAAGCAATTATGAGGTTTGTAAATAATGCCATTAGAATTTAGGGCAAAATTCTATAAATTCAGATAAATAAATAAAAATATGAGCCAATATAGGCAATTTATATAATACACTTGTGAATATGGGAAGACACTTCTAACTTTGACAGTAATGGCTTTAAAAAACTGTGGGGGATCCTGTGCTAAAGACCTAGGGAATCATGCTAGGTGCTGGTGGCTCACACCTGTAATCCTACCTACAAAGGAGGCTGAGAGCTGAGGATCCTGGTTCAAATGAGACTCTTATCTCCAATTAACCACCAGAAAACTGGAAGTGGCTCTGTGGCTCAAGTGGGAGAGCACTAGCCTTGAGCTGGGACAGCACCAAAGCCCAGAGTTCAAGCCCCACAACTGAACAACAACAAAAAAAGAAGAAGGGAACCCCCAGCAAAGTATGGAGGTACTGTGATGCAGTGCTGGTTCTCAGCTGGAACAGACTTTTGCAAATATATGTGGGATACTTCAGAACAGCCTCTAGAAATTCCATGGGTAAGCTGATGGACAGAAGAAAGACTACATGAATGATTATGGGCTGAGAAGAATCAAAATTTGAATATGTCATATGAGGTTGTGTGTGTGTGTGTGTGTGTGTGTGTGTGTGTGTATGTGTTGTACTGGGGCTTGAACTCACTGGTGTCCAACTTCATTAAGTTTTGTAGATAGATAAAATTTTGGAAGCTGGGAGCTGGTGGCTCATGCCTGCAATCCTATCTACTCAGGAGGCTGAGATCAGAGGATCGCATTTAAAGCCAGCCTGGCCAGGAGAGTCTATGAGACTCTTATCTCCAATAAACCACTAGAAAGCTGAAAGTGGCACTGTGGCTCAAGTGGTAGAGCTCTCACCTTGAGCTGAAGAGGTAAGGGACTGCACTCAGGTCCAGGAGCAAAAAAAAATTGGGGGGGGGGCAGGTGCCAGTGGCTCACACCTGTAATACTAGCTACTCAGGAGGCTGAGATCTGAGGATCACGGTTCAAAGCCAGCCTAGGTAAGAAAGTCCATGACACTCTTATCTCCCATTAACTACCAGAAAACTGGAGGTGGCTCAAGTGGTTGAGCGCTAGTCTTGAGCTGAAGAGCTGAGGGACAGTGCCCAGGCCCAGAGTTCAAGCCCCACGACAGGAAAAAAAAAAGGAAAACTTGCCACATTTTTACTTTTCCCATAATAAAGTTTTCACTACATAAGTACAAATAATGTATTGCAACATGTTAGAAAAGTACTTTTTTCAATCTTTCTTAAATAAATTAGATTCTGTTGGTTTATGAGATGGTATTGAGCCAGGCATGACAGAATGTGGCTATAATCCTAGCACTATGGAGGCTAATGAAGGAGGACTGAGTATTTGAAGGAGGACTGAGTATTTGAGGCCAGCCTGGGATACAATGAATTTGAAGCCAACCTGCAAAGCTATATGGCAAGACAAAAAAAAAAAAAAAATTACTGAGAGGAAAAAATAAAGGGAAGAAGTGACACTGTTCAAAAAGAAATGTACTCATTACCTGACTTATGTAACTATAACCCCTTTTTATATAACTTTTACAATAAAAATAATAAATAAATGGTAAAAAAAAAATAGCTATTAACAGTTTCTTAACACAGGATATACCAGTGTCTCACGCCTATAATACTTCTCAGGAGGCTGAGATTTGAGAATCATGTTTCTTTTCTTTTCTTTTTCTTTTTTTTGTCGGTCATGGGGCTTGAACTCTGGGCCTGGGTGCTGTCCCTCAGCTCTCTAGCTCAAGGCAAGCATTCTACCACTTGAGCTACAGTGCCACTTCCAGTTTTCTAGTGGTTTATTGGAGATTGGAATCTCATGGACTTTCCTGCCCAGATTGGCTTTGAACTGCGATCCTCAGATCTCACCCTCCTGAGTAGCTAGGATTACAGGAATGAGCTACTGGCGCCCGGCAAGAATCTTGTTTCAAAGCAAGGCTGGGCAAACAAATCCTTGGGGCTTATCTCCATTTAACCAGCAAAAAGCCAGAAGTGGAGATGTAGTTCAAGTGGTAGAGCACCAGCCTTGAGTGAAAAAGCCAATTAAGAGCTCAAAGCCCTGAGTCCAAGCCCCAGTACAGACCACAAAAATAACAAAATAAAAGCCGGGTGGTTCAAAGCCAGCCTCAGCAGAA